GATGGCCTCCAACCTAATAGCGGTGGCCTCCAACCTGATAACGATGGCCTCCACCCTAATAGCGATGGCCTCCAACCTAATAGCGATGGCCTCCAACCTAATAGCGGTGGCCTCCAACCTAACAGCGATGGCCTTAAGCCTAACAGCGATGGCCTCCACCCGAATAGCGATGGCCTCCAACCTAATAGCGATGGCCTCCAACCTAATAGCGATGGCTTCCAACCTAATAGCTTTATGATGCGCGCGCTTTGCCCCAACATTCTTCGCTCATGACCCACCACCCAACCTGTGGCGCCATTCCGCTGAGCCCCGATTCACTGACACTTCACCTGGCTTGACACCGGCGCAGCACCTTAGCTCCTTAGCTTGTTCAGGTTGTTAAGATCTCTTTAAAGGCGTACGGTATTCGAGCCATATCTCTTCCCTGCTATAAAATCTGCAAACAAAAAGCAGGGTAGTTTTGTTGTTGCTGTGACCCTTCCCGCCACCCCTTCCAATCAACTGCGGTTGGTCTCGGATGGTGACCACGACAAAACACCAACTTGCTGCCCACTGGTGAAAGTCGTGTTGCGCATGGAGCCCAGGACTCTGGGTTCATTGTTGGGATGTTATGGTCCGTGTTGTTTTTCAATGCGATGGAATCTATTTTGACCGTTCATGGCCTCCAACCAAATAGCGATGGCCTCCAACCTACTGGCGATTTCATGCCATGGAATCTATTGTAATGCTTTGGGTGGTTTTTGAATGCGTTGGAAATGCAGTTCGAACCTGGATGAACCTGGTGCGTTCATGGCATCTGCAGGCTGAGCGGGAATTTACAATCAGCAACAGGTTTGCAGCGTCGCATTCACACAACAACGCCGAAAACGACCCATTGGAGTGTTGACACGTGCACGCGGCACTCACAAGGCATCCATGCCGTGCGCAAATACCCTCACAACACTTCTCTAAGGGCCTAGGCGCTATCCGCTCGCCAACACCACACATGCAACTTGCAAAGTATGGCACTGTGGTCACCATGCATGGGCAACTACATGTGAATGATCTTGTACTGCAATGTGCACAGTGAGAGAGAAGAAAAGGGGTGTCAAGGCGAGATACTTGTCTTCAGCGTAGACTCCCCAGTCCTCATCCTCCAAACCAGTGTCTTGGAAGATGCACCCCTCCAAAGCGCTAGATTGTTGCTGTTCAACTGCCTCCACCAAGTCAAGACTCTGAAAATTCTGCGCCACCGCACTGATGTCAGGCAAGTTGTCCCAGCTTGGCTTCAAAGTCCAACCAGCAAGCCTGCGTGCTCCTGGTGCAAAATCCACTGCATCAGGAGAAATAAATTCATGGCTCATTCCATCCAAGGCTTTGGAAACCATGACTTTGATGTTTCGAATGGGCTGAAGCATGGCATCAAGCTGCTCCACGCAGCCGAACTGGTTCAGCAGTTTGCTGGACTTTTGCAAAAGCTGAGCGACTGTGATTCTTGAACAAAATTTCAACGGGCAAACCTTATACTCTTTGTCCAAAAAATTGAGCACAGCCCGCAAATGTCGGATGATCGTGCTGAAGACCCTCTTCAGATTTGCTGCAGCTCCATGAATAAAGCGGGACACACCCTGAAAAGGATCAGTAGGCCAAACTGAATACGCAGGAATGGCACCAGCTTGCAGCAATCGTAGCAAAAAGCCAGAGGCATCCTGCAAGGGCGTTGTGGTCTCCAGCAAGGTGCAAACCTGCAGCTCGTTTGCAATGTCCTTGAATACACTGGTAGGCGGCCTTAGCAAATTGCTCAAAGTCAAAGCAACAGCTTCCAAAGTGTTGACTGCCATTGTTATACCTGAATGAATACGGTTTTCAAGCCGCGTGCCAGGCACCAATATTCGGTCTTCCAACTGGTTTGTAGGTTGCTGAAAGTTGTCCTTCCAGGTCTTACTCAAGCGATCACCAACTTCAGCTATGACTTTCAAAAGTAGGCCGACCCCCGGCAAGTGCTCGAATTTCCGGGCTGATTGGGCCACTTCTGCCAGTGCAGGGATCTGCTTCACTGCATCCAGCAAGACGTAACCATGGTCTGCAACATCAATGAGCAAGTCAGCCAAACTCTGCAGTCTTGTGATAGTTGGGTGCGCCTTGATTCTACTGAGCCCTTCCAGGAAAATCTCAAACTGTGTGTTCACGCCACTGCCCTCACAAAGTGCATCTCCATCTCCTAAGCTCATGCCCAAAATGGAGGTGGCCTTGTGAGCAGGGTTCTCCAGCTTGCTGGACAGAAACGATTCCACCTGGTTTAGTGCTGGACTGCCAATGCTCTCGAGGGCAGCCCAAGTTCCTTGTTCAAATTCCTCTCTGCCTTGCTCCTCACCACCCTCGACAGCACCAGCTACAGCATTGAACAAATTCGCAACTGCGGTAGTCAAATCAGCGGCCAATTTGGCGGAGTCAGACTTGGAAAGATCCATCAAAGCTCGACCTTCTTGTACAAGGCTTTGAATTCTCAAAGCAGCGAGCCCAAGGGCAGAATCCTGCTTCGTGATAGCTTCTTGCGCCATGGGCACCAAAATATCTTGAGAAACGTCCAAGCCAGAATCTGCTAAAATGTGCTTCATGTCTTGAAAGCTGGGGTACCCATTGCGCATAATGTGGGCAATTGCTGGTTCAACTCTGTCACAGTCAAAGGGCAGGCGACCAACCAAAGTAATGACCTTCTTTGGCGCGTTGATGCGGCTGAAGGCAGCCAAAAGCAAGGGTTTGAAGATATGCTCGTCTGCCCTCTTGCCAAATAAGTCAGCGATGTGCTCGACATCAGAACAGGTTGGATATTTTCGGTTCATCATTTCTGGCAACTTGCTCCTCACCATGTCAATCTTGGCTTCTTCCATGTTTGCATCCCTAAAGGTATCCACCACTGCTTGGGGTGCCTTGACATTGAGTAGCACGGTAAGGATCGCTGGCCTGAGAAAATCTTCCATCATGTCGAGGTTGAAAACCCGGGTGAGAACGTCTACATCTTCATATGATGGATAGCCCCGCTGCCTTATGGAGGAGACAGAAGTCTGAACATCCGTCATGTGTTCCTGTGTCAAGGAAGCTTGTACCACTCTGTTATTCACAGATGCGGGTGCCCCGATCTTCCGTAGCATAGCAACCACCAAGGGCTGCAATAAATCTTGTAAAGGATCAAGGTCGAATATCCGAGCCAAAGTCTCAACCTCAGAAAGACTTGGATAGCCACGACTCAATGCCCCTGGCAGCAGCGACTTGAGCTCTAGAAGATCTCCCTCATCAGGACGGAAATCTTCGATGGCATTTAACAAGGACTGCGGTGCTCCAACTCGAACAAGGAATGAAATCATGAGTGGCCTAACAATGTCGTGCATTAGATCTAGATTCAAGGCTGATGCTATTAGTTCAAAGTCTGAGAAAACTGGATATCCACGATCCAACATGGAAGGCAATGCTTCTTTCAGTGGCACAGACTCTTGCTGGATCCGGTCAATATCTGCGGATCTTACAGTCTGCTTTAAGGCATCAGGAGCGCCAATGATATCAAGCACACGAACCAGCAAAGGCAGAAGCATATCTCGCATGGGATCCAAACCTAGAAGACCTGCAAGAACCTCAATATCTGTGTAGACCGGGTAACCGCGCTCCTGCATTGCTTCAAACATGCTACTCACCTGCTGTATTTTGGAACGCGGAGCATGACCCCGTGGCACTACACTTTCAAGACCATCTACAAAGCGTTCCATTGTGGCATCCACCAAGGGCCGTAGAATGTGCATTTCGAAGTCTGAGCTGCTCAAGTGGAGCGTGTCTGCCAAAGAGCGCAAATGCTGCATCTCTACTTTTCCCGGCTCGGCAGCAAGCAGTGACTCGGGGACCTCGAGCTGTTGCAGCTGATTTGATTCCACTGCTTCCACTGCTGCGACTAACGTCGGCTGCTCATGCAAAGACAGGCGCAGAGTGCGGTCGATCAGAGTCAGGGTGGCCTCTGCCAAGTTGAAATCAAAGACATCTGCAAGTGCTTTCAGATCAGCAATGGTTGGATAGCCTCTCTCCAGCATCTGGAACACCAAAGGCTTTAGCATCGCCAGTTTCAATGCATTTTGAGGCTCTCTAAGAAAGGTGGGAAGTAATATGGCCACGAATTGGCGCATAATCTCATCCATTTCGGGCTGCAAACCAAAAATACCCGCAATCAACTGCATCTCTGAATGTGTGGGGTAACCACGTTTCTTGACATTTACGATCACCTCCTTGACTTGCTCAAGGTGCGAGGCTTTGTTGTGCTGCTGAGCTACTTTCCAAGCACTCGCAGCTAGAGCATCAGCGTCGCCCAAAGACTGAGGGCCAAAGCCAAAAATGATGCCCATCATTTCAGCGTCCTCGAATGTCAGGTATCGTCTCTGCATGAGATCTGGGAGCAAAGGCTCTAGATCCTCTAGCCAACTTCCTTGCGCTGACTGAACCAGGTCAAGTATCTCTGGTGGAGAAGAGACTTTGACAAGAAGGTGACGCACAAGGGGTTTGATGCATTGGTCTATGGACAAGCCAACTGCCAAGGCGAGGGATCTCAAAGTTTCATAAGTTGGGTACCCGTTCGCAAGCATTTCATGGAGTGCAAGCATGAGCTGCTCATCTGAACGCCCCTCCGTGTAAGGTGGCAAAGTACTATTCCATGCACATGACTTGGAGATGACGCTGGTGAGAATCGGCTTGAGTATGTGCTCAGTCAAATCAAGATCGAACATGCTCGAAATCGTCTCCAGGTCGTCCATGTCAAAGGTCCCAGAGATGATCGAGTCAATGGCAGCTGTGGAGTTTGCATCCAAACCATCGATGAATACTTTGGTGGTGAACTGCTGAGGTACGCCAACGCGCGTCATGGCCGCTGTAATCAAAGGCTGCACCACATGATCATGGAGTTGCAAGGGGGTCCACTGCAACGCTTCCCCCAGGAGCTTCAAATCACCTCAAATGCAAACTGCCCAATTTTGTTGGAGCTTGATTCAAAGTGACATGCTCTCATAGGAAAATGGAAACTGGGTATTGCTATTGTTGACCAAAAAAGGTTGATATATATATATATATAAAGACTCACCCACTTTGTTTTCACCCGCGCATGCAGTAATGTGTCAAAAATGT